CGTCCAAGACGGATCCAGGAGGTAAAAGAGAAAATTAGCCTTACGATTAAGAAAAAGTTGAAATCTGTTGTGTCCTTGTCACAGTAATAGGTTCTGAAATTACGTGGCAAGTCAATGTTTAAGTTGAGAAATTGCATTTTTATTAAATCTGTACGAGAAGCTTTATTCTTTGTTTAAAGAAATTTTTTTTTTTAAAGCTTATAGAGTTTGGTTACGGAAACATCAACGACCATTATACATCCATGAAATTACATAATCAGCATTAAAAGATCGTGCTTGCTTAGCTAAAGTATCAGATCTTTGATTTGCAGCCCTTGGAAATTCCCGAAATTGAAAACCAGGGATTTGAGAAGTCATACTCATGATATCAAAGCAATATGACAATGGTTTGATCTCCTCCTTGTCTTCCTTTCCCACATTTATCTAGTGTATCAAATGTCACTCGAGAGTCTCCACAGAAAGTGACAAGCTCATATACATGCCTCTTTACCTGCTGAACTGCTTCCCTAAGGGCATAGGCTTCTGCCTCCAAAGCAGTAGCAATTGGTTCAACTGAGGCCAAGCCTTTCATGATAATCACACCATTATTGTCCATAAGGATCCAACCAAATCTTGCCTTCTGATTAGATGACACCCATTAACTATATGCAAAACAACACCAAGAGTTAGCTGATTTAATCACCTCCATTTCAGTTTTTAGGTTGTGATTCATTTGGCCATTCTTCTCAACTTTATCTTCTAACCCTTGGTTTGTTGCCTCCGTCCATTGCTGGTGATCCATAATTGCTTTTTGAATTACCTCTAGGATGGGCTTTCTTCTACCAGTGAAAATAAGAGCATTTCACATTTTCCAGAATCGCCAACCAACAAAGGGATATATTGGTAATCCTTGGCAGATACTTTATTATTTTCCATGAGAGATTCAACATTTTTAACCAAATCATTAGGGTAAAACAAATTACCTGGTAAATGAACAAGAGGAGAATGCTCCCAGATCTCCTTAGAGACTCTACAGTGAAACAACATATAAAGAATTAACATTTGCTAACTAACAACATTGTTACATTTCAAGCTAAAATTTAAATTAATGAAAATATGAGTCGTAGGTTGATTGTCTCAACTAAATTAATGAAGTTTACAAGTGAAAGTTTATCAAATCTGATTAGCGAAGCACAAATTAAGTACTCTGCTTAAACATTAGAAGTTAGAAATTTTGTTTCGGAGAGCTCTAAACTCATAAAAGATATAGGTGATGGAGTCA